AACCCTAAACCCTGAACTCTACAAGCTGATCCTGAAAGACTGAGAGAGGCCTTCAAGAGGCACCTCCGCACCACAACCCAATTCTTGGGCCTGAGTACACTGACTTGGGGGATCTGTAAGCTTGAGGTTGGGACTTCAAAAACCCAAGGATTGCAGAGGTGCTACTACTGGCCTAAACCCTAAACCTGGTATTCCTGTTGCTGCCAGAATTATCATCAGGGTTGGCCGCTTTGGGCTTAAACTAGAGAGCCGTCGGGATGTTGCACTCTTACCTAGAAAGCCCTATATCCCTTAATTAGGGAATATAGCTTCAATCATGCTAGGGATGCTAGTATCGTTTAGGGTATATTCACTAATCAACGGATATGGGGCTTTCTCGGTATTTCTAGGCTAAGATCCGGAGGACTGGGTGCCGTGCTCACCGCAGCTTGATATGTTTGCATTCCAAACCTGGCTGGCATGTCCAGAAAAAAGGAAAGCAAAGCTCTTCAAGCACCTCTGTTCCTCCCCATCAGAATCATCGTCCCTAAGATTATCCTGGTTATTGTTATGGTTACTGTTATTAATACTGTTGCTACTATTATTTATAATATTATGTATCACCAGCGAAAATGCTACAGCTGCGGGCACCAGAACTACTCTGAGTTTTTCTTGTGATTATAACTACTTGCGGTAGTGGAACCTGCATCTTTCCCAAACCCTCTCGCCTGCTGCAGTCTTTCCTTCAACTGGTTGCGAATGTTTTCCTTCAGCGAGCTGTCAAGTCGATATTGTAAGCATACATGCACAAGTGGGTGTCTGTCAAAGCTACCGCCTGGAGATCCTTCACAAGACTCCCACACTCCCATTATCATCCGCCATATGCATATGGCCCTTGCCACACGAATGTCAAGAGTTTCTTCCTGAAATCTCGTAGAACGCAAAAGTTATACTGGCAACCAGAGAGGTTCCCGATGTTCCTTTCCAAGCGGCATATGCTACCACTATGCTTTTATGACGACATGGCTTTATCCATATAGACCCCAATATACTATAATCATCTATAATCCTTATTATGGGGACTCCCAAGAAGGTACCCCTAATCTTGGGAACCCCCCAAATGATCCGATGGTTTGTAAACCCCCTAAACCCTAAACCCTATAAAACCTCAACCCTATAAGCCGTATAAACCCTATAAGCCCTGTAAACCTTGAGCCCCAAAAACCTAAAACCCATAAACCCTAAACCCTATCTTCCCTAAACCCTGTAGCTCATTCGCAAAGCGCTTCCAAGCTCCTTGCCGCTTTTTCCAGTGCTGAATGGCTCAGGGAATTTTCTGCAGCAAAGGCCTGCCAGGAAGCTTTTGCAATTTGGGGTTTAGAGATTAGGGGTTTAGGGTTTAGGGTGTAGGGACCTGCTATACTGGATAATCAAATGGAAAAGAAGATGGAAAATGAAACGGAAACTGGGATTATATGGGGGATTATAGGCTTTAGGGTTTCCCAAAGTTAGGGGTGCCTTTTTGGGGGTCCCCATAATAAGGATTGTAGTGTATTGGGGTCTATATTGGGGTCCCCCTATTTAGGGAGACTACCATTTGCTGTCAAAAGCTGTCGCTGAGCAAGTCAGGGTTTGGGGTTAAGTGACAGAGGAGCAAAAACACTAGAAAGATCACTTTGTGACCAGAAATAGCAGCTCGGGAAGGGAGCTTCCAAACTATGGGCAATATAGTATACTTGTACTGCCACCTCGTGACTACGTACATAAATAGTCTCACTGCCATTTAACTTGTCATCGCAATTACCGTTGTTGGAATGCTTGCGCAGATCGTGGCATCTGTGAGTCTGTGCAAACACGGCTTGTCCCCTCCTTTCTGTTCTTCTGCTTCCGCCAGCGGCCGAAAGCTGAAAGAAGCGACAAGTGGTCTCCATCCTGGCACGTAACGCAAGCAGCTGTGATCGTTGATTATACTATGGTGCTTCTTTGCTCCTAGCTTCACAAGGTCTGTGGCGTTCAGGTCCTTTTAGAAAGCTCTAGAGGCTATTGTTTGGGAGCCCCTTCGACCCCACCATCAGCAAGGCTCCTCGTGGTGAAAAGGCTTGGCTTGCTGGGGCCCTTCACCTGGGTCCAGCCAGAGTCTGGGCACCATGTTTATGTAGATATATATATATATAGATAATTGGATAGAGAGGTCCCTTTAAAAGTAGGTTATTTGGGGCTGTACAGGGGTATGTGGCTTCACAGAGATTTCCATGAAGGGTCCAATGACTATCCTCATTAGTACCACTATGACTACTATCCTTACGGGCACTAGTGCTGCTATTCACCTTTTCTGGGGCAGTGTTAGAGCAAGTGGCTTCATCCCTAAACCCTAAACCCTAAATCTTATGGCACCTGCGGTGTCCCTGACAGCTCCAATGCCTATCCGTGTTGGTACTGCGATTACTATTATTCCCATTGATGCTACTGGTCCAAGGACTCAAATAATGGGGTACTAGGGCCCAAATATTTCAACCTGAATGGTACTTTGGGACCCAAAGCCCCAATATTTGGGTCCTTGCAGCCTTAGCAGGGGTGCTACTACTAGTCGTTTTCTCGGGAAATGTTAAAGCAAAATGGCTTGACATCTGCCGCTTTGTTTCGAGGCAGCGGCGCTGCTTCCTGGAGGACGTGAAGATCTGCGCGTCCGCCGACATCATAGCAACAATGCCTGCAGGTTAGCACAATGAAAAAAAATGTGGAAGCTATCACTCTACGGAGGTTCTGATCTGCTTCTGGGTCCCAGTCTAAAGAGGCCCATGATATGTACTTGTGGCACCCAGGAAAAGGTGACTACAATTTCGACAACCCCACATCATAGTTCCCATTTCCTTTGGCTCCTGTTCAGCTGCCCTAACCTCTAGACGCTAAACCCCGAACCCTAAACCCTAATGCTAGGCTCGCGGCTCAGGATCTCGGCAGTGCATTCAAATTCGAGCGAAACATGAAGGCAGTAAGCGTACCTCCATGTGAGCTGTAGTCTAAACGCCTAGTATCCCCCTTTATCAGCTCTAGAGTTTAGGATTTGGGGTTTCGGGTTTAGGGTGGCTATACTCCTACTATCCCCTTAATAACCCCTATAGTAGTTCCCTATATTCCCCTGTAAGCCCCTTTAAGGGATTTAGATTACTGCTCATGTCATGTGCCTGTCTTATGCACTCTGTGGGTAGCTACACGGCGCACCCTTCAGGTTCCGAGAAGCATTAAGCTTTAGATGCCTATAGCAGAATTCTAAGACCTGCAGGCATTAGTCATTCGGGCTATGAAGAAACAGGTGTAGCCTACCTCCCCAAAGCTTCAACGCTTCTCAAGATCAAACTCCTGTACAAAATCCTGACAAGCGGCATCTTCAGTGCTCAACCCTACATCCCAACCCAAGGAAGCCAGAACTCCGATGCCCAAACCCAAAAAATCCTGAATACAGATCCTGGGATCCCTAAACACGCCCCTCATCCCCCTCTATGCTACAACCCCTCTCCCTAGGGGACCCAGCCGGATTACGGCGCACAGGGGATGCACTGGCAAAGTTGCAAGCTTTCTGCCCAAGTCGGTCAGGGCCTCAGCTGTGCCGCCGGAACGAATGATAACAGCTGGCTGCCCAAAAGAGGGATCAACAAAAAAATGCAGCATCCTGGAACATGATACGATCGTTTATGACATGTTATGAAATGCTGTTTCACTACGCGGTGGTAGGTCATGATAAAATATACCGTGACATATTATACGCATAGTTGCAGATTGCAGACCCTTGGGCTATGTATGGATTATCCTCAGGGATTGCGGTGGCCCTTCACTAGTGGCATGTAAGTTTCGGGGGGGAGCTGCCTCCAAGATACGCAGTCAAGTTTCAGAACACGGCTAGCTTTTCAACTTTTTTGACCAGGCACACAACCTTTTTGTAGGAATATCTTGTAGAACCTCTTGGAGTCAATCAGTCTTTGAAAAGCTGAAGCACCAGTGAAATCCTCAACTCACACAATAGACCCTCCATCTACCCTCTATATATCCTACACACCCACTATTAGGGGCCGTATGCCCCTATCTAAGGATACAAGGAGGGTCCTGGAAAACAAGGCAAGAACTGTCAGCTTCCAGCGTCCCGGGCTTAGGGTTTTATCTTTTTTGCAGCGCCCATTTTGCGCCTGCACGACGCAAAGGGTCTAGGGTTTAGGGTTTAAGGTTTTGGGTTCCCTCACCTGCCGCCATCCCTGTCACGAACCTGACGCACCTGCAGGGTAATCAGGTTTTTTAATGTAGTTGATAGGGCTTAGGGTTGTATGGGGTTGTATTGGGGTCCCGGGTTAAATATGGGATATAATTTCCACAAAAAAAAAATCAAGTTGAACAGAACATGAAAAAACAATGGAAAATGAAATGGACACTGGGCTGTTAGGGTCTACAAGACTTGTAGTTACCCGTGTCAGTTTCCCCAAATAATAGTTGCCCAATATAGGTCCCAATATATAGTAACTATAGTCCTTCGTAAGGGGAGCCCCAAAATGGTATCTGTCCAAGCCACAAACCCCCTAAATAACTCTGAATGCTAACTGTCAACCTCGGGCCCAAGCATCTAATAATTCCCAGCCATCTCATTAGGGTTTAGGGTTTAGGGTTTAGGGTGTAGGGTTTAGGAGACCATCAAATCGTATGTCGCCTTGTAGACATTCCCCCTAAACTGCCGATACCCTCAAACCCGCAACCCACATCCGTAAACCCCGGCCGTGGTGCCAGAAGGACAGAGACTTCCCCCACGGTCCAATGATACCCTACACGCGCATCCCCGTCATAACCCCCTATGAACTCCATGAAGGAATCTACAAGTCCACCTACAACCCCAGAAAACCTTGAAATGCGCACTTACATATTGCTGTATCTTTGGATTCCTCTACTACCCCCCACCCCTCTACCACCCCCGCCTCAATATGAAACTGAACTAACCCTTGATGTCCTTAAGTTATATACCTTAATCGAGGGGGAATCTGGGGTGGTGAGGCACCCCATATCAGCCATATCAGCTGCAAAAACCTACGCTAAGGCTCAGACATCCTTGGTGTCCAAGGCGCCGATCCGGCAAAGGAAATGCGCGGCTTTCTCCTGGGTTACAGTTTAGGAACTTAGGCTAAATTACCAAAATATGCACATGGAGGGTTAGGTTATACCCATTTTAATTGACCACAATATGGGTATTTAGTAAACAGTAGAGTTTTCTGCATTATAGTAGTTAATTTGATTTGACTTCCTTAACTACAACCCGGTCTCAAGAGCTTCACGTGGCGGTCTGTCCACCTGCAGCTGTGGGGGTGCAGGGAGTGCGTTTGGGATGTAGGGCTCAGGGAGCCTCAAGCAGCAACGAGTTTTGCAGCACCCTTTTCCTACTCCAGCAGCTTGTAGGGCTGTACCGGCTGCTGTGAAATCTTTAAATATATCGATCATGTTGGATGAATTCTTTCAGGCCAAGTAGACTCCTGTGGCTAAGTGCCGTTGGGTGGCATACCATGAAAATGCAGGTCTAGACTGGAATGACAAGGGTTCTGAGTTGGGTAATGCAATCTGTCTTTCACCTATTGCTTGTCGGAAGTCTGGTGACCTTCCCTCGGCTCCAGTTTCCCTAGATAAGGGGACCCCAATATACTATAATCTTATTATGGGGACCCCCACAAGGATACCCCTAGTTTTGGGAAACCCCCACATGCAGCGCTCAGCTTCCCGCCAGCGGGAAGCTTGAGACTTTCGAGATTCCAAGGGCCTTGCGCGCCAGGGCCACGACAGGGAATCAACATAAATGTTGGGTTTAGTGTTGAGGGTTTAGCTGTTATCATACCCTATAGGTCCAAGGACCCAAATAATGGGGTTTTACGGCGCAAATACTAAGATACTAATGGCCTTTGGAACCTGAAGACTTCTTATTTGAGTCCTTGGACCCTCAGGGTAATAACGAGGTGGAGAAGTCTACGTTGCGAACACAACATCTGCAGCTAAAGAGAAAGATCGTAGCAGTACTTTAATGGCAGCTACACACAAGCAAGCTTAAAACTCAATCAGTAAGCAAGACGTTTGCAATGGCGAGACAAGAAAGACATGTCCCGCACTATATGAACCTCAAATCAAGAAACATATTTCCTAGCACCCCGCCATACTGGGTTGGTGCTACATGGTGTTACAGGAAGGAACTTGAGTTGAGTCACCATCACAAACAACGTATTTACATGTACCAAAACTATGATAACTTAAACGCTAAGTTCCCTAAGAGCAACCCGCCATAAGCACATCCGCGAGCTCTGTCCTTCAAGCTGACGTAGACGGACGCCATTTCGCAGCGCAAGATCTCTGCCGGAGTTTGCACCGGCATCTTGTGGTAGTCTGACCTGAGCATCGTTGGATTGCTGCGAAGGTTTCTGCTAGTTTGGGAGGTAGTTTAAGGATTGCATTCAGTTTCTCAGCTCTGGGGTAGAAGGGTTCCATGGCCTGAAGTCGAAGGTTTGAGGGCATGTACAAGAAGAATATAATGAACGCCAAAAACACTTCTCTCAAGGCGCAAGCAAGACAGCATCTGGGGCCTGTGTCATGAGACCGTCATGGCAGTCTACAGAAATTTCGAGCGATTCCCTAGATTCTGTGGGGATCCCCCTTGCTCACACCAATATCATCCCTAAACCCTAAACCCTACTCCTGAGTCTCAGAACCTCCCAGAAGGGACCCTAATTTTTGGAAATACTAGTACCTAGCCACTAACATATGCTCCCAGTTTTGATTGCATTGTCCATGTTATTCTGCATAAAGTGTTGTCCATTTGCTTTTCCAATCATTGGAGCAATATCCCGAAACCCTAAAACCCTGAACTCGGGGTTTAACCCTAAATCCTAATGCCCCAAACCTAAGAACCCATCCAGCAGATCACCACCCTGCTAGACGAGGCCCCTAGCCTGAATCTCTTCAAGAATTACCTATATAAACCCTAAACCCTAAATCCTAAACCCCTTTAGGGTTTAGGATTGAGGGATTTAAGGTTGAGGGACTTAGGGATTTAAGGTTTAGGGATTTAGGACCTGATTCTTTCCAGATCCAAGGCTAGGGCGTGCTACGTCTGAATGAGGACTTCAGCTCCCTACATCTAAACCCCTCCCTAGGGTTTAGGGCTTAGGGTTGCTAACCTGGCCCCCCTAGAATTCCAGAGTCCAAAAGGGATCTCGCCCCGCTTCCCTATACCCTAAGCCCTAAACCCAAAAAAGATCTTGCCAGGACCCCCTTAGGTGGCAGCTCGACGTAGAGGCGAAAGACCTCTCCCGGTGCTTCGCGGCCTCTGCAGCAGAAGCTGCGGAAGATTGTTGAAAGCTTTCAGGTTTAGGGGTAGGGTTTCGGGTTTTAAGGTTGAAGGGTTTGTGATTGGTTGGGGAGGTTCCTGTTGAACTGCGGTACCCAGGACATTTGCTGATAAATTGCTCAAAGTCCAGACGAAGATCTAAGCCCCGAACCTCCAAGTCTAGACCCGAAACTCTAGCCCCAAACAAAGTAATAGCTTGCATTTGGCTTCAATTCCCCTATACATGTACCCCTGTGTGATGCTGACCAGCGACCGGCGCGTCCGGCACGCTGAATCGCAGAAGCTTGTGAAGTCTCCACGGTCCTGTGGCTAATACAGGGGCAAAAGGGGGAGGCTTATATAATTGGGGCCCCCTTTAAGGCGGTTATAGGCGATGTATAGGGTAAATGGAAAATGCAGTGGAAACCGGGTTTATACCGGGGTTATACAAAGCAATGTAGAAGCCTGCGTAATTACCAATATCACTTCGAGGTCTAGTTGCAGCGTAACACGTATAAGCTATAGTCTAAACTCCGAGTATCCCCCTCAATAACCCCTATAGTAGGCCCCTATATAATCCACAGATAACCTCCTCTAAGGAGCTTGGACTATGGTTCCTTTGGATTCCTTTCTGGTGCGGGTTCTGGAAGCCCATATGAGGGAATGGAATCACTTGGTCATGGGAAGGCCTTACCTGTCCCTGACCTCCTACCCAGAACACTGATTGTAATCATGATAGAAGCCGTAATATTACTAGTAATAAGAGTACTGAAAATGATGATACCCTAGACCTAGACCCTAAGCCTTATAAACCCCTAACCCCCAAATCCCAAACCCAAAACTGCGTATATGCGAAACCACTCGGCCTTAGCATCTCGATGCCCGTCTGCGGGTGGCACATCTTCAGCTTCATGACGCCGGTGTCCTTCTTACCAGTGGTTAGTAGGGGATAAGGGAATATAATCTCTATATAATCCCCGTATAATATATTCCCTTGTTCCTTGCCTTTGCGTGCTGTGGATACTGCAGGTTTTTCAGGGGCCAACTTACCTTTGGTCAGCAGGGAGTGGAGGAGCGGAAAGAACATCGAAACTAGTATCATGTTAGGGGTTATACAGGGACTATAAGGATCCAGTCTTTCATCCGTTGTTGACCACACCCAAGCCCGTGTCTCAAAGTCAAGGGCAAATGAGTGTCTCTTGGCTTTTCAGGGGAAATCTGCTTATAGTCACGTCAGCGCAGAAGACATGTCCATGCAGTTGCTGCAGCAGAAGTCCACAACATATCGGATGCCCGGCAGGGTGATGGAGGTCTCTGCAATGTTGGTGGCCAGCACGACTTTGCGACACCTGAGGGCCAAGTTCTGCTTAGGGTTTAGGGTTTAGAGTTTAGGGTTTGAAGGCGGCATGTACAGTCCAAATACTGGCGCTCAAGGCTAAAGGTGAACCGGGCTACCTATATGAAACAGCTCTCAACTGTTCTTAAAAATCGAGCTGGCCGAAAAGATAATGCTATTCCTCAGCAGCTGCCTGATGGTCATTCCGTGTTGTAGGTAGATCTTAGGAGGCACTTGGACCCTTTCCCTAAGTGTCCAAAAGACAACGATCATTCAGGTTTTGGGGAGCACATCATAATGATGTAATTTGGACTGTTAGGGTTGGGCATTCAGATGCTTAAGACTGACTGGCAAGGCGCCCAGGAGGCGTAGGTTCGAAGACGAGCTCCTTCAGGGTTCAGGTTTTGGGGATTAGGGTTCAGGGCTCAGGGGTTAGGGATTAGAGATCAGGGATTAGAGTTTAGGGACTAGGGATTATAAGTGTAGGGTTGCGAGGTCATCAAGGACCCTTCCACTAGGCACCTGCTGCCAACGTTGTCCTTGTTGGGGCATCCTGACTATTAATGGGCCTTTTTATTTACTAGGGGCCAAGGGACCATGCTTTTGAAAATCTACCGCATGAGCTTTAGTTAAAGCTCCCAGATGGAATATTCATTGGATGGCACCACAGAAGCTTGAGGACTTCAGGAGTCTTGACCAATAATCGCGGATTCATACAGATTGCTAGACCCTAAATCCCAATCCCTAAACCGCAAACCCTAGGCCCTCAGGCCTAAACCCTAATCCCTATACCCTAATCCCTAAGCCCTATAAAGCCCTAAACCCTCATTCACATGGTGCTCTGCTTTCCCCAATGAACTCCTGCTGATCGAACGGAAGAGCTCCGTAGATCGGCCTGATAACAAGGTTGGAGACCTGGCAACTCAAGCCTGATTAGGGTTTTTGGGCTAGGGGTTTAGGGTTTGTAGCGTTTCCAAAAAAGTTGAGATCCCCCTTACATACCCCGAGTCCAAATAATTTTTGAATATCCGTACATGTCTTCTGGGAACCACTAGTTGCAGCCCCATACTTCTTGATAATCTCAGCAACAAGAACTCCCTCCTGCCCTGTGCTGAGTTCAGGTGTGAGGGTGCTGAAGTCCTACAGTATTATGTATATTGCTAGTATTATGTATATTACTCTGACTGTTACTTTCTTATCTTACAACTGACAAAAACTCCTAAGTGTCCAGGGACCAAGTGTGTAAGGGTCTAAGTTTTAAGTACCACAAACCATTTAGCTAACAGTATTTGGGACCTGAACCTCCGTTTTTTCCGGTTCGTGGACACTCTAGCTGTTGCTTGCTATACTTCTAGTACTTCATTGCTATACCACTGTAGTACCATTCTACCATTCAGCAACACACGCCGGCCGGCCGTTCCAAAAGTTGGCCACTTGTTGGAAGTTGAAGCACCGGCTAGGATACCTGAAGTGCCAGGAGGCATCAGAGATTGCATCATGATGACTACCCAGAGGCTCCTATGTAGTTCTTTGTTGGGCTTGCTATAGTTTCTGGGTAAGGGATCTTAATATACTACCCCAAAAAGGAACTACATAGGAGGGTCTGGGTATGCGCATCATGATAAATTATCATCTATGCGCAGAGCCGCTAGTGTTCATCTCATAACCATAACGGCATAACAACCATTTCCTTGAAGATTTTAAGCGTCTGATGGCTGATTTGTGCGCATATGGGTGTTTCTCATAATCGTCCCTGTGATACGTAGGTCCATGGTTTACAAGGCGCTGGGGTTAAGTCAACGCAGGTTGTGAAGTCGCCCTTCCCCAAGCTCACGCCCAGATTCG